AAAAAATATCTAGAAGATCGCGGAATCTCAACGACCGGCTACTTAAAGAGCGGTCTGGTCGAGCTAGCAGTCGCTGCAGACAAAATTCATGTTCCCAGACTCGAAAGAAAAACGGCGGACATCGACAGCGACTACATCGCCATTGAAGACGACGTTGTTATCCCAAATCCATTTACATTGAAAGCAGTGAATGATTTTATGGACTGTCCACCTTTTGGACTCTATGACATTTTTAACCATCTCATTCATCACTCATGCGAATACGATAAGCAAGGCCTCGCATCATACAAATCGTTTGATGATTATCGACTTTTTGAAGATGGATACGTTGTATCCTTGCTTAAGACTATTCTGAAGAATGAGGGTATCCATGTTGTCATRGGGAAAGTTCTTCCATCAATGAYAGAAAAGACGAAGGAAGGGAAGGAACATTATGACCTTTGGTTCGCTTTAGAAGGCAGAGGAAAGAGAAGAGYTAGTGTTTTACAMGCTCGTTGTCGATGTTTGGGAGGGCGCGATGGAGGTTGCAAACACATTGCTGCAGCAATGTACTCACTTGATGATCTACTGAATAACAGAAAAASGGAGAGRGTGACAAGTGGTCCTTGCCTTTGGGTAAAAAGACCGAAGGCAGAAACCAAACCAMCAGAAATAAAAGATCTAGTGATCAAGAAAAGCAAGATTGTACCAGCATGCAAAAGAAAACGTGTGCGCCCGTACGAGCAAAATATTGAAGACGTAGATGTTAGACACGATTTGGATAAAACTCCACGAGACGTAACATCGATGGAAAAGTTCACATTAAAAATGTGTAAGCTCAACCATGTGCCTGCAGTGTTACCTCTGTTTCGGCACCTTTACCTTAATGAAGTTAATTATCAGAAAACCACTGAGAATGAAACACAGCAGGTAGATTATAAACTTAAKAGCCCCAACCTACTTGATGAAAAAATCAAACAAATAATAAACAATCGAGGACAAGACATCGATCCATCAAACATTCTAAGCTTACTAAATATCTCTAGAAGTGAGATTGAAAGTGTGGAAATGAGAACAAGGGATCAGTGGAAATGTAGTGAGTGGTATGAATCTAAGATAGGGTTCATAACTGCATCCAAATGCCACAGAGTCTTTACAAGGCAAATATCACTAGAAAACGATAGCACACAGAGTGCATGTGCATTGATAAGGGAGCTATGTATATGTAGACCTCCTGTGAACATGCTGTCGTTTGAGAAGGAACACCCGGAAAATGCTAGGGATTGGGGTTTATATCATGAGAAAACTGCCAGAAAGAATTATGTGAGAATTGAAAGCCACAACCACCACAAATTGCAGCTGCTCAGTAAAGGTTTTCTCATTTCTGAAAAAAAGCCATTCCTTGGTGCCAGTGTTGACAATATTCAGACATGCGATTGTGCAGATATGTGTTCTGATTGTGTTATTGAATTCAAGTGCCCATGGAAGCATAAAAACATGCACCCAAAAGAAGCATTTTTAACACCAGAAATTGGAGGAATTGTTGTTGATGGGTCATATGTTTTGAAGCCCACCTCGAAATACTACTTTCAAGTACAGCTACAAATGTTTGTAACTGGACTTCATTTTTGTGCTTTTGTTGTGTGGACAACTCTTGGGATATTCACCACCAGAGTAATTTATGATGAAGCATTCATGCTAAACGTATGCAGAAAACTGGAAGCATTCTGGGTTGGAAATGTAGCACCCTATCTCATATCCAAACATCTACCCATTAAAGGTATGT